CATTTAGTCAGCTGGTCTTTTTTCCCCTCCAACTTCATGACACATGAATTCCATTTTTTTTTNTATTCATTCAGCCCTCCTATGTCTTTTTTTTTGGTTTTTTTTGTGTGTGTTTTTTGTTTGTTTGTTTTGTTTTTAGCTGAGCAATCCTGCTACCTGTTGGCAGCTCAGTGGCTGCTCAGCTCGGGCTGGACTTGAACCGCTGTTGCTCAGAGCTCAAACTCTTGAGCGAGCTCTTAACCAACTGAGCCACTCGGCCGGCCCTTACATGAATTCCTTTTGAAAGAACCTAGGAACGAGCCACCCCTTAAAAATGGAAACAAACTAAGGGCCATGTTTTGAAATGCAAACATTAAGGGAGATAGCTCCCATCTTCCCTTGTGAGGGCAGGAGCGTGACCTTGGTGCTAACCTTGCTCCACTTTCAAAAACGACCTCCTGTCATAAGTGTTTGTCTTTCTTCTAGATAAAGCCCAAAAACTGACACAGATGGTCATCCCAATTACCAAGTAGAGTTAGGATTAACTCTGTGAAAAATGGCACTACCAAATCCTTTTACTGGGGTTTAGTTCTGTTTATCTTGAATATATGTATGTAATGGGTTTTATCTGCTTAGCTATATAGACAGGTAAGTTTTTTTTATCTTTGCAATTTGTTAATGGATTGCCTGTCTTAAGCATCAAAGTCTGGTTTGATGGTTATTTAATAATAAAACTGTTTCTGTCTCTACAACCTTTGTAGAGAGGATTTCTGGGCTGGGAAGATTTTGGTTTTATTTTCCCAGTGATCACCATCACACACCTGACTGCAGAGACCAAACTTCAAGCACCCAGCTCATCAGTAAGGGATGGGATATTATAGTATTGCATGAAGCAGCAAGGAAGGCCTTCTTACTGAAGCCATTGACAAAGATGAGCCCTGTGGGTTATTTTTTTTTGGGGGGGGTGTATTTGTTCCCTTTAAAGATAAACTGAGGTACATTAAAATTTTGAAGTTTTATTTGAGCAAACACCAATTCCAATCAGGCAGCTCCAAACTGAACTAGGGGAAAGGCTTCTGTAGAGCAAAAGGGGAAACAACACAAGGAAATTATTTGATTGGCTACAGCTTAGGGAGTTGCCTCATTTGGAAAGGCATAGTTGGCTGTTTGTGATTGGTTGTTTTTAGGTTTCAATTTCTCACCATTGAGGCATTTACAAGAATTTATCCTGGCTTAGGTTTCCCAGTTTGATTATGTAAGCAGCATGGCATTCGGAACCACTTCAGACTAAAGACCTCCTTGTTTACAGTTCCAAGCCAAAGAAGCAGGTGACTAGGTTGCTTTAGTGCCTGGAGCCTTTACAGGGCTCCTCAGCAGTGGAGGTCCTGGAACTTGAGCCCTTTTTGCCATCAGCCTGCTTGGCTCACTGCAGATACTTAGAAGGGGTCCATTAGAAACCTTAACTCTGCTGCTCTCTCTGAGTCTGCAGGTGGACTGGAACTGGAGGGAGGCAGCCCGGCCTTCCCTAGAAAACTTGTTTTCAGTTTCATCTCTGCATTGACCCTGTTCATCAGAACTGCTGAAGGACTTACTAGAAATGTTACTTCTCAGCCCCAAACCCAAACCTATCAATTCAGACATTGTGGGGTGAGGATCAAATATCAGTGTTTTAAGACACCTTAGGTTGATGCTGTGGTTCCTGTGGACAGGGCACTGTTTCAGTGTCTTATTCATGAACAAAAAGGGAAATATCCATAACTTACGAAGGAAAATAGGCAAATGATAACAGAAATTGTACAGAATATATATAGGTGGCAAATAAAGACATGAGAAAATGCTCAAAGCCACAAATCCCTGGCGAAATGCAATTAAAACCACACTGAGATAGCCCTACACATTTACTAAAAGAGTTAACATTAAAGACTGACTGACCATATCAAGTACTGGCAAGAACGTGGAGGAAATGCAAAGGGAATTATCATTTTAGATCATAGTTTGGCCGTTTCTTTAAAAGTTAAACACTCACCTACCCTGTGACTTAGCATTGCACTTCGAGTTTAACAGAAGAGCAATGAGACATCTCTTCATATAAAGAATTGTAATGAAAATGTTCAGAGCAGCTTTATTTGGAACAGCCCCAAACTGAAAATAGCCTGACTGCCCCGAACAGATGAATTAATAGAGAGAAAATACTACTCAGTAAAAGGAATGAACTACTCAATAAGCACCATTGATGAATCTAGGACAATTATGCAGTATGAGGGAATGGAGGGGGAAAAAAACACTTTTTAAATATCTATCATGTAAGTGTAGAAAAATCCAAACTAATCTGTAAAGAGTAAATCAATGGTTGCTGTAAGGTCCAGAAAACGCATGGAGATAAAAGGACAGGAGGCAAATACGTGAGCAACAGTTGCTCATTATAATGGTTATGATTAGTTTCAGATTCTTACACATGGAAAAACATATCAAACTGTAAACTTTAAACATGTGTTTTAATGCATGTGAATTATACCTTACTAAAGCTTCAAAAATTATTCAAAATAAAAATCTAGATCTCCCACTCTTCAGAAAATAAGCTTTGTTAACTGTAGAATAAGTCTACAACCTCTTCTCCTGTCCCAGCAAGGTCAGTCTGGCCTCCATGGCAGCAGCCAGCAATAGAGATGCGCTCATTATCAGGACTATGATGATGGTTTCTTAGGTTCATACTTATGTCAAAACTTATGAAATTGTACATTTTAAATATATGCATGTAGTACATGTAAATTATACCTAGTGAAGCTTTAAAAAACTACTCAAGGTAAAAAAATCTTAATGTCTCAATCTTTTTGGAAAATATTGGGTTGTCAAAAAAGTCATGATATTTTGTCTGTGTTTTTCAAAGGTCATTTGCTTATATAAAGAACAAAGATCAATCAATGATATATTGCCTATTTTGTTCAATAACCTTTTGCCATCTTTCAGTGAGCTTCATAATTCCTCGTTCATAGAAGGACCTGTCTTTATTTGCAAAAAACTGAACAAGGTGCTCATTTACAGCCTCATCTGAATTGAATGTTATACCATGCAAGGAGTTTTGAAGAGAGTGAAACAAGTGAAAGTCTGATGGTGCAAGGTCAGGCGAGTATGGTGGGTGTGGCAACAGATCCCATCCAAGCTCCAATAATATTTGCTGGGTGATCAAACTTGTGTGTGGTCTTGCGTTGTCATGATGGGATTCAACTCCTTTACAATTAACAAGCTCTAGATGTTTCTGGATGATGGATTCGTTCAAACTGTCCAATTGCCAACAGTACACATTCGAATTGATTGTTTGGTTCCTTGGTAGATTGAAACACACAACACCTTTAAAATCCCACCACACTGAGAGCATAACCTTCCTCTGATGAATGTCTGCTTTTGATGTTGTTTGAGGTGAATCATCACGTTGGGACCAAGCCCGTTTGCACACCACATTTCTGTAAACAATCCACCTCTCATCACCAGTTATCAGTAGCTTCAAAAAATTATCCTTTTCCTCATGTTTAATGAGCATATTGCAAATGTTTATACATGCCACCAAATGAACTTGAGTTCATGCAGAACCCAAATATTGAGACTGCTTAGTTATCATAGCTTCTTCAGGTGGTCGTGAATGGTTGAATGATGCATGTTCAATGTTTCTGCAATCTTGTGTCATGTAACGTGGGCTTGACTCTATCAATGCCTTCATTTTGTCATCAGCAAACTCGGTGGGGCTCCCTGACCGAGGAGCGTTGTTGGAATCAAAATCACCAGCATGGAATTTTGTGACCCATCATTGGCACTGACGTTCTTGTAGAGCATTGTCACCATAAACTTTATGCAACTTTTCATATGCTTGACCCACATTCTTCCCTTTATGGAAGTAAAACAATAAAATATGGAAAAATGCAGTTTGTGGTGTTCCATCCTCAATTTGTTGTCAAATCTCCAAAACTCAACCAAATTATTCAATTTTTTTTAGAATGAAGCTACAATTGTCAGCTGTCAAAGGACACAGCAATAACATAGATGCAAATGGCTCTAGTACTTCCAAAAACGAACTAGTGCCATCTGTTGCAAAAAAGCATCATGACTTTTCCAACAACCCAATAGGTTTAACGACCCTATATTGACTCGTCTGTCTCCCCATGCCCTCTAGGGGTCAGTATTGCCTCAGTGGCAGCAAATATTTAATGAAACAATTTTCACCTGAGTAAACAAGAATTCTGCCTGGATCAAAAGAGCCACATCCTCAGACTACAGAACCCCCTTTCCTCTTTCCTGTTGTGCAGTAATGATTTTGAGGTACAAATCACCAAGAGTCTATGGGAATCCAGAAAACCTTTCAATTATTTTTAATTTTAATTTTTCCTGACAATGACATCGGCTACACAAGATAAACATGCCTGGAGGTCCTGAGTTTATGTACACTTATCATGCAGTCACTGTAAACATCTCTGGATGCACTTTTAGAAGAGGCATGTTTCGTTCAGTTGGTGCAGTCTCCTCCAATCCTTATTAGACTAGTGTCTGTACAGAGTATGGTTTCCTCTGGACTCAGTGGCCTTACAACCAGTGACCCAACTCAATGAATTGTGGACATCAGGGCACATGACTGTAGACTTGGGGAAGATAGCCCCTCAGCAGTGCTGGTATGACCTGGGATATCTTTTTTTTTTTTAAGATTTCATTGGGGAATTGGGGGGATGGGAACAGCGCTGGGGAATCGGGTGAAGGGGAACAGACAAGTTGCTGTCCTTTTGTGCCTCAGTCTAGTTGTGGAGGACGTCGCTTCACTGGTCCATGTTGGTATTATCATTGTGTTCTTCCCAGGTGGGACAGTTGCTTGCTGGCCATTGGACGGCAGCTCATGGAAGCTCACAGAAGCGAAAGAAAGTGCTGTGGGCCAGTCCCACTGTAGCCTACGCCATCGCTGGTGACTCATGGCAGCCCAGTTCCAGGTCGAGCTGTTGTTCACCATCTTAACAGTGGGCGCAGCGTCACTGGCCCTCATGCAGGATCTGAACTGGGGCCCTGCTGTTCAGAGCTGGTGTCCTAAGCCAACTCTTAGTGCGCCACCTGGCCAGCCCGGAATATCTCTTTTGAGTAAAAGGAAAATCATGCTATTCTAAAAAGTACCTGAGGATCTGATAGCTGTCCTCTCTTCAGGGTGATCTCTGAGACTCCTAAAACACACAGCATCCAGGCCTGAAATGAGGACAAGAAAGCCCTCAGTCCTGCCTAAGCTACCATGAACAGCAATGCAAATTTGGTAAAAACTGGCAAGTTATTTATTGCCGTCATACAGGCCTTCCACACACAGAGAAAGCTTGAGACCCCTAGTAAATTGTTCACCTCTTCATGCTTGTAGAACTCTAAACAGTTTAAAAACCACCCATACAATAAACAGAACACCTACGATTAAAGAGGACTTAAACAGTAAAGCCTTGATTATTGTAAAACCAAAGCAATGTGCAGCAGGCACTTCTCAAGTTCATAAATTGGAAGCTGAAAAAACTCATCACATGTATCACATGATATCAACACGTCCCTGGAAAAGGTAGTCCTATCTCTGCAAGCTGCCAGCCAAGCTCATGATATTCTTTGGGCCAACACTGACCCATATCCATGTCCAAGGTTGTCAAGGAGGGAAACCTGAACCCCTAAGGGCTTTGGTTACTCCTGGTTTGTAACAATACATGGGAGGCCAGAGGTCAGCTTCCCTGAGAACACTGGGATGATGCGATCTCTGTGGACCTGCCAGGTGGTAAAGGTGAAATGGCTTTAGCCACACAAACTAGAAACAACATAAACATGGAAAGAACCCTGGGCAAGTCTGAAAGTGCAACATATTTCCACATGCTTCTCACATAAATGACACGTATGGGGAATCTTGCCACTGTGCATACTCAGATGTATGAGATTCAATTCAGACAGATGGCTCCTCAAATAGTTTCCTCTGGTGGTTACATGGAACAAAAAATTGCACATTCCCTGCACATCTAAGGCCTTTCTCTAGTGTGAATTCTCTGATGTTGACAGAGAGTAGATTTTCGCATAAAATATTTCCCACATTCATTGCACTCATAAGGCCTTTCTCCTGTGTGACCTCTCCGGTGTTGACTAAATTGGGAACTATCCCTAAACGACTTTCCACATTCACTGCACTCATAAGGCCTTTCACCAGTGTGAACTCTTTGATGATAACGGAGTTTGGAGCTACAGATAAAAGATTTCCCACAATCACTGCACTCATAAGGCCTTTCACCACTGTGAACTCTCTGATGATAGCGGAGCGTGGAACCAGAGGCAAAAGATTTTCCACATTGACTGCATTCATAAGGCTTTTTTCCTGTATGAATTCTCTGATGGTAAGAGAGGGTGTCACTACTGGCAAAACATTTCCCACATTCACTGCACTCGTAAGGCCTTTCTCCTGTGTGAACTCTCTGGTGTCGCACCAGTATTGAGCTACTGGTAAAAGATTTCCCACATTCACTGCACTGATAAGGCCTTTCTCCCCTGTGAAGTCTCTGATGATAACCAAGGCCAGAGGTAGAGGTAAAAGATTTCTCACATTCACTACACTTATAAGACCTTTCTCTATTATGAACTCTCTGGTGTATTGAGAGGGACGATTTGTGGCTAAAGGATTTCCCACATTCACTGCACTCATAAGGCCTTTCTCCAGTATGTCCTCTTCGGTGTTTATTGAATTGTGATCTATCCTTAAAGGATTTTCCACACTCACTGCACTCATATGGCCTTTCTCCAGTGTGTACTCTGTGATGATAACGGAGGCTAGAGCTAAAGGTAAAAGATTTCCCACACTCACTGCACACGTACGGTTTTTCCCCTGTGTGAACTCTCTGATGGTAATGAAGGGTTGAACTAGATGTAAAAGACTTCCCACATTCACTGCACTCATAAGGCCTTTTTCCTTCATGAGTTCTCTGATGATAACAGAGGGTGGAGCTAGAAGTAAAAGATTTCCCACATTCACTGCACACATAAGGCTTTTCTCCTGTGTGAACTCTCTGATGTTGAATGAGTGTCCACTTATTGTTAAAGGATTTCCCACATTCACTACACTGGTAAGGCCTTTCTCCTGTGTGAACTCTCTGGTGTAAAATAAGGTTATTTCTTCGAATAAAGGATTTCCCACATTCTCTACACTCATAAGGCCTTTCTCCAGAATGAGTTTTCTGATGATACTGGAGGTCAGACCTAGCGATAAAAGATTTCCCACATTCAGTACACCCATAAGGCCTTTCCCCTGTGTGAACACTCTGATGATAACGGAGGGCAGAGCTAGTGGTAAAAGATCTCCCACATTCACTGCACTCATAAGGCCTTTCTCCAAGGTGACCTCGCTCGTGATACTGAAGGGTGGAGCTACAGGCAAAAGATTTGTCACATTTACTGCACACATAAGGCTTTTCTCCTGTGTGAATTCTCTGGTGTCGAACAAGTGTCCATCTATTGTTAAAAGATTTCCCACACTCACTGCACTCATAAGGCCTTTCTCCTGTGTGAATTCTATGATGATAACGGAGGCTGGAGCTAAAGGTAAAAGATTTCCCACATTCGCCACACTCATAAGCCTTGTATCCTGAGTGAACTCCTAGGTGTATAATGAGATTATTTCTTCGGGTAAAGGACTTCCCACATTCACTACACTCATAAGGCCTTTCTCCAGTGTGAACTCTGTGATGATAACGGAGAGCAGTACGAGTGATAAATGATTTCCCACATACACTACACTTGTAAGGCCTTTCTCCAGAATGAACTCTTTGATGATAACGGAGGTCAGACCTAGAGATAAAAGATTTCCCACAATCACTGCATCCATAAGGCCTCTCTCCTGTGTGAGAGCTCTGATGATAACTGAGAGCAGCAACAGAGGTAAAAGATTTCGCACAGTCACTACACTTGTAAGGCTTTTCTTCAGTTTGAGCTCTCTGATGTCGAATGAACACTGAGCTATGACTAAAAGATTGAGTACATTCACTGCACATGTAACTGTTTTTTCCACTGTGACATCCCAGGGGATGAATGAGGACAGATTTGTGACTTAAGGATTTCCCACATTTGTCGCACTTGTACTGCTTTGCTGCAGTATGAATTTTTCGATGTTGACTGAGGGTTAAGCTTCCCTTAAAGGACTTTCCAAATTCGTCACACATATGAAAACTTTTTCCAGTGTGGGCTCTCTGGTGAACAAGAAGTGAGGATTTATACCTGAAATTTTTCCCACATTCATGGCACACAAAGCGCTGTCTTTCAGTGTGAACATCCTGGTCCTGAACAAGCAGGTGTTGGGGGTTGAAGGCTTTCTTACATTCTCCTGAAGTGTGATGATTTTTTCTGCTTTGTAAAGTTGCTTCCCACTGGGTGGTTTTGTTTGGCTCCTCCCTGTTGTGAGTGGCCTGTTGTTGTTGGTGTCCCGAGGTGATCAGAAAGTCCTTCCCAAACTCCCTGCAGGTAAAAGGATTCTCTGACACATGGAATCTACAGCTCTTCAAAATCAAGGACCTGTCCACACTGCTTCTGAAGGGTGTCTCCCCCATTTTGTCCTTCTGATGCTGGTGAAAGTTTGCACTGAAATGAAAGCATTTTGCACATGCTCCACACTTCAACAGTTTCTGGCTGTGTTGTGTTCTCTGCTGCTCAGCCAAGTGGAAGATGTCTCTCAAGACCGGACCACACATCTCGCAGGGGTGGGTCTTCTGGGAAGTTGGAGTTCCCTCAGGAGTCCTGGCCTGTGACACTCCCACAGAAACACTCTGTTCAGTGGGTGCCTCCACATCCTCTGCTCCACAGCAGCAACCTGAACACAAAGAAATGGTGGTGAAGTACACCTTTACTATAAGGAGGAGATAACCCCACCACAAATGTGCATATGTCACATGCAGGCATGAATGTATAAAATGCTTTCCAAAACAAGAAAGTTGGAATTCAGTTGAAGGACTGGCTGACTATTGTGTTACTGGGCCTCTAAAGTCACAAAATGGTGGAGACCTCACCAGGGGAAGGATACAAGGACAAGGTATGACAGAAGAGAAGCAGGGCACACAATTCATTTCCTCTGCCCACAGCTTCCTGCATATCCTTTTCTGCTGCAGATATGAGGCTGGGCAGAAGCATGCATCCAAGCCCAATAAAAATCCAACTGCAGCAAGTTATCTGCTGTCCAATGTCAATTTAGGGATATATAAGGGCCAATGTTGAAGAGCACTACAGAAAGAGTTGAAAGGAATGGGTGAGATGTGGAGTCGAGAGAGGTAAAGATTATCCCTGGGCTGGAAACCACAGTAGAAATGAAGAGTAGCAGAACTGACAAGTCAGCAAAGCGTTAAAGGTGGAAAAGGAAGGGTAGAAATGGGGTGTGGCTACTGGCAATGGCACAAAAACCTCTGGTTGAACAGCCATGTTCCTGGCATGATCTGAACACAGCCCTGATGGCACAATCTCCACAGCTGCCACTCACAAGGACCATACCCCATGACCCACTCTGCCATGACTGGAGTTATGTCCACCCTGTAATGCACAAAGGACTCTTCCCTGTAAGTCCTAGTTGGGAAACTACATGGGACATGGATAATTTGAATCCCAAAGAAAAAACAGAGAAGTGAATGGCCAGCACTGTTCCAGAGAAACTAGGCACACAACAAACCCTAAAAAGAGATCTAGGTGAATAATGTCAGCATGATGGTAGAGGAAACCAGCCTTCAAGACCAACAAAAAAAAATTAAGAAAGCTATCTACAAATCAAATTGGCCCTTGGAAGGCTCAAGAGTCCAATTAAGATACTACAGCAACAAGGTGGAACATAAAAAGGAGAATAACCACACAAAGAGGATCGCTGGGGACATTTGCTTAGTTAAGACACCTGGAGAAGGAAAAGAAATAAGAAAGGTGGGAACCATGTGCGCCAGCCAAAGGGCAGATGTCATCGCATTCCTCAATGTCTACTCCGCAGAGGACCCCAGAAGCCTTTGCTGCAGAAATCCTCAACAGTCCCTGCTACAGCTGTGGAGTCCCACAGTTTGCACAGCAGAGGATGCTGAGTGTCTGCAGGCATTCACCCCAGTTGCCTGCTCCACAGAGGACACTGGCCGCTTTCACACTAAGGTAACCAATAGCCATCACCACAGAAGCCTGTCAGAAAACAGTACACCAACTTGCTCCCCTCAAAGAAGCTATTGCTTCATTCCATGATCAGGGAAGCCATGCCACTTAACCCTGCACATACCCCAGGCCCCAGAGCCTCAAATGTTCCATGAATGCCCATTTTCCATAACCTCACTCCATGGCTGTCATGCGAGTGCCCATTTCTCATTCACCAAAGCCAAGCCATGGCCACTGTGGGGTAGCCTGCTCCGCAGAACCCAGAGACACTGTCTCTCTGTGTGTACCTGTGCTGTGGTCACAGGTTCCATTTCAGATCAGTGTGTGATTGCCTCTCACACAGCAAAGTTGATACCACCACAGGCTATTCATCATCTGGGACCCGAGAACTGCAATTGTTCTGTGTATATTCACACCTTAGACAGATCCATACCTGTTTCACAGGTCCCTGAAAATCAGACATCAATGCCGCCGCCACCATGAAGGTGCCCAAGGGCTGGCATCAAGAGGGAACTGCTCAGCCAAAATATATCCCATGACAGAAAGAAATCAGGAGGTCCTCATCAATCTCTACTGGTGTGGACACCCAAAGCCTTAGCTACTGAGGACCCCTGTAATCTTCACTGACCTCATGTGACAGAGATGCAGACACTAAGCTTTCTTGTAGTCAGAGCTGCCACACCCTACCAAGCTGGCACACTTGCACCTACACACAGGTGAAGACCTTCCCCACCAAAACCTTTCCATTTAGTTTGGAATAAATTCTGCTCCATGAAATGTACTGGCGTGAACACAAGGCTACATCAAAAAACAAAACAAAACTAAAGTGAAAAAATCAAGAAAACACCAACCCCCACAAAGGAACACAATAAATTATCAATCACCCCAAAGAAGTGCAGATTTGTGAATCGTCAGAAAAAGAGTTCAAAATAAATGATTAAAGGGAGTTCAGCAAGCTACAAGAAAACAGACAATTCCACAAAATAAAGAAAACAATTATACAAACAAAATGAGATTTTTCAGCAAAGAAATAGGAAATATTAAAGAAAAAACAAATTATGGTGCTGAAGAATATAATGAATGAAATAAAAAATGCAACAGAGAGCATCAACAGTTAGCTTGATCAATCAAAAGAATGAAACTGAAAGTGAAAGTAGGTCTTTGATTCAGGAGAAAAAAGAGAAAAGAACTAAAGAAAATGAAGAAAGCCTACATGAATTATGGGTTACCATGAAACAAAAAAATATTCTCATTATGGGAGCCCTAAAAGAAGAAAGAGAGAGAGGAAGGGATGAACGCTTATTTAAAGAAATAATGGATAAAAACTTCCCAAATCTGGGAAGAGAAGTGTTCATCTAGGTACATGATACTTATAAATCCCCAAAAAGATTCAATCCAAAGAGGACTGCACCAATACATACTATAATAAACAAAATAACGACAAAGAATTTTGAAAGCTGCAAGACAAAATAAACTCATTTCATTCATATAAGGAAACTACCTTAAGAGTATGAATAGCTTTCTTTGCTGAAACATTGCGTCCCAGGACAGATTGGGATGGTATGTTCTAAATACTGAAAGGAAAAAACTGCAAGCCAAGGTACTTTGCTAGCAAAGCTGTCAATTCAAAAATGAAGGAGAGGGTGCACCGAGTGGCTCTGGTTAAAAGTTGGCTTGGGAGCGAGAGCTCTGAGCAGCAGGGCCACCAGTTCAGTTCCCACATGGGCCAGCGATGCTGTGCCCTTTACAGCTAAGATAGTAAAAAACAGCTCGACCTGGAACTAGGCTTCTGTGAGTGGCCAGTGATGGCGTAAGCTGCAGTAGGGCTGCAGTGGGCTGCCATGAGCTACTACTGTGTGTGGCCCACAGCCAGCATGAGCAGCTGGCAGCTGGTGAGAGCTGCCATAAGCGGCTATCCAATGGCTAGCAGCCGACTGCCTCAGCTGGGAAGAGTGCAATAATCATAATACCAACATGGGCCAGTGAAGTGACGTCCTCCACAACTAGAAGAACCAAAGGACATCAACTTTTCTCTTTCCCTCCCCCAATTGCCCAATAAAATCTTAAAAGAAAAAAAAATGAAGGAGAGACACTTTCCCAGACAAACAGAAGCTGAAGGAGTTCATCGTCACTTGCCCTACCCTACAAGAAATGCTATAGGAAGTTGTTAAAGCTGAAATGAAAGTATAATAATTATTAACATGAAAACTAAACCACTGGTAAACTTTAGAGTCAAATTCAGAATACTCTGATACTATAATACAGGATAATATATAGGACAAAGGACAAGAGTATTAAAAATAACTATACTCACAATATTTTGATAATGGTTATAAACTATAAAAATATAAATTGTGACCTCAAAAATATAAAATATGTGTGTGGGGGGAGGGTGTAAAAGAGTAGAGTTTTGTTTTTTTTTAAGATTTTTATTGGGGAATTGGGGGGATGGGAACAGTGCTGGGGAATTGAGGGAAGGTAAACAGACAATTTGCTGTCATTTCGTTCTTCAGTCTAGTTGTGGAGGACATTGCTTCACTGGCCCAAGTTGGCACCATCATTGCGCTCTTCCCGGATGAAGCAGATCAGTCGCGGGCTTCTGGACGGCCGCTCACTGCGGCTGCTGGCCGCTCACGCTGGCTGCTGGCTACATACGGTA